GTTGAAAAAGGTATTTGCAATGAATTAATCTTTGGTCTTGCAAAATTCTATCATGCAATCTCCGGCACCATTTCTATCACTAAGGCCATATTTTCTAATTATCGATGCTTCTTCTTTGCTTCCAGCTTTTCATTCCATTTACCAGTAATTATCATTACATCTTGATTGCATGTTTGGTCAATTTCAACCTGCAGAAGTTTGTAAAATCTTCAATTTCCTTATCTTTGGCTTTAGTGGTTGGTGCATAAATTTGAATAATAATAGCACTAACTGGTCTTCCTTGTAGTTGTATAGATATTATCCTATCAGTAACAGCATTATATTTCAGGATAGATCTTGATATGCTCTTTTTGATGATAATGTGATTCATTCCTCTTTAAGCTGTCATTCCCAGTATAATAGATCATATGATTGTGTGATTCAAAATGGCCAATACTACTGGTAATAAAACCTTCATGTTCTATTACTTTTATAGAGTCTCATCCTACTATGACCACTAAAAGCTCTTTTCCCATCTTGCACCTTACCTGTCCCTCCTCCCACATGCCCCCCGTTTCTTAAGCCCTTTTCAATTGAGACATTGCAAAAGTTTCTTCAAATTAAACAGCAACTTTATTTATGGGTCCCTGAAGGTAATATTACTTTCCACAAAGAAATCTTGCAAGTACATTGTTGTTGTTAGCTCCTGTCGAGTTGTCCCCAGACTCACTGTGACCCCATGCACAATGAAATGAAATGCTGCCTGGTTCTGTACCATCCCCATTACTGGTTACAGATTAGATCATTGTGATCCACAGGGTTTTCATTAAAAAAAAAAAAAAAAAAAAGGCCAATTCCAGTCCATTTCAGCTCACTAATGCCTAGGATATTAATCTTCATACATTCCATTCATTTTTGACAACTTCCAATTTTCCCAGATTCATACTTCATTCATTCCATGTTCAGATCATTAATGGATGTTTGCAGCTGTTCCTTCTCATTTTGAATCATGCCACATCAGCAAATGAAGGTCCCAAAAACCTTAATCCATCCACGCACATCATTATAGCTGACTCTGCTTTGAGAAGGCAGCTCTTTCTCGCTCATATTTTTAGTGCCTTCCAACCTGAGGGACTCATCTTCCAATACGAGATCAGACAATATTTCCCTGCTATTCATAAAATTTTCAGTGGCCAGTTTTTTCAGAAGTGGATCTTCCTAGTCTTCCTTTGTCTGGAAGCTCCACTGAAATCTATCCACCATAGGTGATACCGCTGGCCTTTGAAATACCAGTGGCACAGTTTCCAGTATCATAGCAACATGCAAGCCACCACAGTACAACAAGCTGACAGACATGCTGTGGTTACTTTGTATCCTTTCAAATCATACCATGTAGGGAAGACATCCTGTATTACCATGGATCATGTAAGAATATCCATTTAGAGCTAGCAAGGTCCTAGTCAATGAACTCAACTTCTTCCTCAAAGAGATCTTTCACTGGACTTATTCCTCCCTTCTACTTGGCCCACTCCATGTGGAAAAATAATAAGACAGCCATATTAAGCTGAAGGAAATGAATAGAAAGCTGAACACAATTAAAAATAAACTTCCAATGAGCAGAATAAGTAAGTGAAATGGAAACTGTTTCACTTCATCTTTGTACCTTTATATTTACTAGTTATGTGATGGCAGAGAGGGAAGGCAGATCAGCTCAACAATAAGAGAGCCTTCAGATTACTTTATTATATATTCATCAAGGATATCAGGACAGTAAAGCCAGATTTCTTGATTTACTTAAAATCAGCAACTTCAGATTACAATGAGCCTGGCCAAAAAATAATGTTCTCTGTGAAAGACTAAGCTGTAAGACTTGTCATATTTTGTTCTTTCCTGTCGAATTTATATTTTTCACTATACTGAAAGTTCCACAAGTGTGGGAGCCATGTGTGTCTTCCTTTACCCTGTAATCCTCGTACCTCAAACAGTGACTGGCACATAGTAGGTGTTCAACATTATGCTCTATTACTATGCTTCCACGTGGATCATGAGGCTGATAAAGGCATATTAGAAATTGCATTCAATATAGGCAAGAAGGAGGAAACTCTTTTCTCCTTATGCATGTAATATTGATGGATATAGATTATTAATAGTTGAGAAGAAATAGCCTTAGACTAGAGCAGGGTAGGGAGAAGAAGAAAAAAAAGATAAGAATATGTTTTTCTTTTTCAGTTCTTTTCATTAAGCTCAAAGCAAAACACAGAAATTGAGACCTAATTGTTCTCATCTCTCTAAAAGGAGAAAAAATTGAGCACATTTTAAAGACAGGAAAAATTAAGTATCCAAGTACAGATTAAGGGTCCTTGGTGGCACAGTGGTTAAAGCACTTGACCTCTAATTGAAAGGTCAGTGGTTCAAATCCACCAGCCACTCCATAGGAGGAAGATGTAGCAGTTTGTTTCCATTAAGATTTAGAACTTTGGAAACCCTATGTGTCGGTTCTACTCTATACTATAGGGTTGCTTTGTTGGAATCGACTGGATAGCAGTGATTTTGGTTTTGGTTTAAGTACAGATTTACTTTAAAATTATGTAAATAGAGAACGAAGAATCAAACTCCCTTACTACCTTCCAGGACTCTGACTGATATCTCCTCTGGGTCTCCTGATCAATGTTCTGTGTTTGCTCTTTTTCTACTCGATTCAGTCAGGTCATAATTTTTATCCCATGTCTTGTCTCCCAAAATAAACACATGCTTTCTGCATGCTATTTCAATAATTATGGAATTCAGTGTTGACTCAGAGAATCTGAACAGGGCACTGCCTGCAGCAAGGACAAGCAGAAAAAGATGTCACGTGGTACCATTTAGGAACGTCATCCATAGCAAATTCTGCATTTTTTCATTAATTTAAGAACAACATTACAATCTAAAGTGAATATCTCTAAATAGGGTAAATTATTTCAGTTTCCAATGAAATCATATTTTGCAAATTATGTTTCTTATTTTCTTTTAATATTTTCTGTGACTGTAAAGGGCTATTGTGGTAAGTACAAAATCACAGTTTTTCTTTTTGTTTCTCCCTGGTTCTTACTACCTGAAAACTGGGGGTGATAAAACTAATTAAACTGCTGGTTCACACACTATGAATACCTCACTCAGTGGAGCATAAGAGATTAAAAGGAGAATGAGATAACCTGGTCTTTATTTTATCCTAAAAAAAAATAGCCCTTTGCCGTTGAGTCAACTCTGACTCATGGTGACACCAAGTGTTACAGGGTAGAACTGGTCTATTTTATCATAGAATCATGGGAAGTTAGAGGTAGAATGGTCCTCTGAGATGATCCAGCCCAATCCCCTTCATGTTTCACTTGAGGAAACTGAAACTCGGAGATGTTAAAACCTGCCCTTTATCCTCGAATATGTATTTGGTAAGAGATCATTTTTCAAATATTTGCATCTCACAGAGGTCTCATTCCTCAAACTTGATGATTTCACAGGCATTCTGAACTATGAGACCTTGGAGCTAAAAAAGAAAAAAAAAATGAACATTGCCTGGAAACTTACTTGTAGTCAGGGCAAATGAGCGAAGCTCTCAATGAGATGGATTGACACAGTAGATACAACAATGGACTCAAACATACCAATGATCAAGAAGATTGCAGAGGACTGGCAATGTTTCATTCTATTATGCATAAGGTTGCCATGAGTCTGAGCCAACTCTATAGCACCTAACAGCAACAACAAAACTTAGTTAAGCTTTCTAAGATTGGCAGAAGCAGGGGGCTAGGGAATTGTTTTCCAGTGGTTGAATTCTCAAGTGGTGACTCATGAAAAAGAAAGGCTGTCTTATCACTATGTAACTATGAAGGAGAGGACATGCCTGTGTACTGTGGAGCCTCCTAGCAGCCGCGGTTAAGCAAAGAGAACTGTTGTTTGTACCTGCTGCCAAGTCCACACCTGGTCAGGTCCACCCATTCCTTTCTCAGGAATTTTCCTGCTATCACCTTGCTCCCTGGACACCTACTCCTCTGCCTAGCCATGGGAAAATAGTGCTGAAGTCAAAAGAATTTTGTATCCCTCCCACATAAGGAAACCAAATAACAACAGAGAAGAAAAAAGTATATTAAATTTATTGAAGGTAGTGATTTGTTAGGTGGAATCTCAGTTCTCCAGAGGTACAGTAAATAGTTGAACTCATTTCAGTATTTCAAAAGGTCTAATGGAAATCACACATTTATTCACAGCAATGCTGTACAAAAAAAACAAAACCAAGCTCACTGCCATCAAGTCAATTCTGACTCATAGCGACCCCTCTGTGGGTCTCCAAGGTGGTATCTCTACAGAAGTAGATTGCCCAGTCTTCCTTCCAAGGAATGGCTGGTGGGTTTGAACCACCAGCCTTCTGGTTAGCAGTCTAATGTCTTAGGCACTATGCCACCAGAGCTCCTAATGCTGCACAGAGGAATGATAATATCAAGTTTCTTTCTTTGAGCTTGAATTATATCATTCAGGTGGTGCAAGCAATTTGCCATCAGCTGCTAACTCAAAAGTTGGCGGTTCAAATCTTCCCAGCAGCTCCACAAAAGACAGTCCAGCAACCTGCTTCCATTAAGATTACAGCCAAGAAAACTATGAAGGTGTCCTAATCTGTAACACATGGGGTCCCCATGAGTCAGGATGATTCAAGAGTAGCTAACAACAGCATATCATTCAGTGGGATTATCTCAGGCTTATCAGAAGCTCTGAATGACATATCTTAGGTTACTGAAAATGAAGAAATTATTACCTATTAGGTGAAAATCAGGCCCTTTTGAAGATAAGAGAAAATTATAAAAAGAGATTTTTGTGGGGATATATAGAAGGATAGATTTTTAAAAATAAATAAAAATAAAAATAAACCAAGGTTTAAAAGTACCGATTTTAAGCCACAGAAAACTTTATATCCAAGGACTCTTCTAAAAATTATTTAAGGGAAATCCCCTCCCCCATCCCAGCTCTCCCCTGGTCCTGTGGTAATAACTCACTGGGCAGGGCAGGGAGGTTTTCCTGAAACTGGTGGCTAGTGATCGGTGACGTTCCTGGAGTTTTCTCTCATCAACCTCTGTCCAGCTGTGACCCCAGAAGCTGCTCATCCATTTGGCAAAAGATTCATCATCATCATCATCATCTTTGTGCTCCATGCAAAGTTGATTCAAAATGCTGAAGGCCTGTCCCTAAATCTGGCAGAGAGAAGTATTATCCAACAGGGCTGACTTGATAAACCCCAGGATCTCTCCCAAAAGACAAGATAAAAGTGGTATTTTCAAATGGTCTCTGATAATGGGATCCCTCAAGGAGAAAGATTTACTAAACAACCACTTCACCATCAGGCAGCATCAGGCAATGTCTATTTATAAATAGTGCAGCCCACATTCCCCTCCCCCTTGTCTCTTTAAATTGAGAGGCTTTTTAATCTTTCCATTGCTGGAGCTTGTGCCTCAAAGCCTAAGGGTGGGAAGCACAATCCACTGCCTGATTTTCTCTGTGCTTTGCTGCAATGAAATCTCCAGCTGCCAATGGTGATGGAACATGACCCTCACAATATGCCTGTCAGCTTGAGGCCAACACTGATATGGGCCATATCTAGGGTTAGACTGGTCACAGCCTGTAAGGCAGCCAGCTGCGGCCATCCTATGCACAGGAAAGGACATCTAAGATTAGAAACCCTCCTAACATATAAAAAGGAGCTCTGGTGGCACAATTGTTAAAGCATTAGGCTGCTAACCAAAAGGTCAGTAGTTTGAACGCACCAACCACTTCATAGGAGAAAGATGAGGCAGTCTGCTTCTATAAAGATTTACAGCCTTGGAAATCCTCTGAGGCAGGTCTACTCTGTCCTATAGGGTCACTATGAGTAGGAATTGACTGGATGACAATGGGTTGGGGTTTTTTTTAGTTGGTTTGTTTGTTTCATTTAATCTATATAGTAACCCTATGACTGAGCCGAGACATTCATATCAACATTTTAGTTGTTAGGTGATGTCGAGTTGATTTCAACTCATAACAACCCATGTGATAGAGTAGAACTGCCTTATGGGGTTTTCTTAACTGTAATCTTTACAGAAGCAGATTGCCAGGTCTTTCTTCTGCAGAGCCACTGGGCAGCTTCAAATCGCCAAACTTTGGATTAGCAGCTAAGTGCTTAACCATTCGCACCACAGGGATCCTATCAGTATTTCAGAGATGAGAAAATTCAGATTCAAATAGACTGTCACCTGCCCAAGGTGAAATGACTACTAAGCAGCACGGCCAAGTTTGAAGCAAAGAGCAGAACAACGAAGTCCAGGTTCTCTCCATCTTTCTACCAGTAGTCTAAGAATCTTGGGAAATCCTGCATTTTGTAACCAGAGGGATTCCTGGCCATATGAAAATTCTTGCTTCCACTGCAAAAAGAAGCATTTGGTACTGGTGACCTATGTTCAAGTGATACCATAACTTGCACTTTACTAAGGAAAAGTGACCCAAGCAGAAACCCACTGTCATTGAGTTGATTCCAACTCATAGCAGCCCCCATTGGATTTCCAAGGTGGTAAATCTTTACAGAAGTAGACTGCATACAGTGACTTTCAAAAGTTTTATTTCTTGCTTTAAATCATGAAAAATGCATACTTGCTACTTTATAATATCTCTATTGAGAGAATGGAGGAAGACTGCCTGTCAATGACACAGATGAGAAAGGAGAAATTATACATGGATGTCATCACTGTTAGTTGTCTCTGTTATTAAAGAGATAAATCAGATAACTTCCTTTGAGGAAGAAGGACCAAGTCCTGCTCATGAAACGATTATGGGTGAACTTCTTTTCTATTCCTCCTAAGACACGAGAATCTTTTCTTCCAATGTCTGAAACAAAACAAAACAAAACAAAAATCTTATGGGTAGAGGATAGAGAAAACAGCAGATAATATCTAATTATTACTATAAAAAATATTTGAGGAAAATAAAAGGTACTTTACTTTAGAAACTGTTTGAGTGATACCTGTCACTTACAGTTCTGAACTCTCCCTTTAATGCCTAATAGACACACTGATTAATTTAAGTATTGGCAAAATTGTACAGAGAAAGAGAAGAGTTAACATGGAAAGCTTGAAGTTATCTATATCCTTAAAAAGCTGCCCTCCCACCCCCAGAGTTTTAACTCCAAGCTAGCCCACACTGAGCCTCCAGCAATTTGTCAATCACAGTTCAATTATTCCAACAGTTGGCTCTAAGAAGCCCTGGTGGTACAGTGGTGAAGCACTTGGCTGCAAACACGAAAGTCAGTGGTTGGAACCCATCAGCCACTCCACAGGAGAAAAATGTGTCAGTCTGCTTCTGAAAAGTTGTATAACCTTGAAACCCCAATGAGGCAGTTCTACTTTGTCCTATAGGGTTGCTATGAGTCAGAATCTACTCAACAGTAGTGGGTTTGGGTTTTGGTACAGTTGGCTCTGTAGGTATTATAGATACACACTCGGTTACTAACCTAAAGTTTGGCAGTTTGAATCCACTCAGCAGTGCCACAGGAAAAAAGAGTTGGTGATTCTGCTTCCATAAATATTCCAAAAAAACAAAACAAACCCCTGTCATCTAGTCAGTTCTGAGTCATAGTGACCCCCATTGGGTATCCAAGGCTGGAAATCTTTATGGAAGTAGATTGCCTCATCTTCCTCCAATGGAGCAGCTCATGGGTTTGAACCACCAGCCTTCTGGTTAGCAGCCAAATGCCTCACCCACTATACCACCAGAGCTTCTTTCCATAAAGGTTCCAGCCAACAAAACCTTATGGAGCCACTTTGTAACACATGAGGTTGCCATGAGACTCAACTGCAATGGTTTGGTTTTGTTGGTTTGGTTTTTGGTTTTCTGTGGGGCCATAATCTATGAAAACATCATAAATATTGGAGGGATTGTATGAAACACTTATAGATGCCCATACATTAAGTTTTGTTCTCTCAATGCCTCGCACCATACACAAAAACAAATTCAAAATGAATTAAGGATTTAATGTTCAAAATCCATAAAATTCTTAGAAGAAAATGCTCAGGCAATGCTGTTGAGTCTAGCTTTTAACAATGGATTATCTAATATAATAACAAAACAACAAACAGTAAAAGACAAGCTAAATAAATGGGACCTAATAAAAATTCAAAACTTTTGTTCATCAAAAGACTTTACAAAAAAAGTGAAAAGACAAGCTACCAACTGGGAAAATATCTTTGAAAATCATATATCCAATAAGAATCTAATAACCAAAATATTACTAGGGGTGGGAGGGAAGAGGCAAGAACACTGCAAAAATGAAAACAATAATAATAAAAAATAAAAGAAATAAAAAAGGAAATTAAGAATTCTTTGAATCAAATGAGAATGAAAACAAACAAAAAGGAATCTAACAACCAAAATACATATAAAACCTTGACAACTTAACAACAAAAAGACAAACAACCCAATCATAAATTGAGCAAAAGACTTGACTAGACATTTTACCTCTGGTAGCATAGTGCCTAAGGCACTTGACTGCTAACCAGAAGGCTGGCGGTTCAAACCCACCAGCCACTCCTCGGAAGGAAGGTTGGGCAATCCTCGGAAATTTCCTACTGCCTCGGAAACCCAAGGAGGGGTCGCTATGAGTCGGGGCCGACTCGACGGCAAATAACAACAACAACAACAGACATTTTACCACAGAGAACATTCACATGGCTACAAAAACATGTGAAAAGATGCTCAACATTATTAGCCATCAGAGAGATGCAAATCAAAACCACAATAAGGTATCATTTCCCTCCCACTACAATAGTTAAGATTTAAAAAAAGAAAGAAAGAAAGAAAAAATAACAAAGGTTGGTAATGATATGGGGAAACTGGAACACTTTCTACTACTGGTGGAAATGCAAAATGGTAGAGCCATTGTGGAAAACAGTGTGAGGTTTCCTCAAAAAAACAAAAAATAGAACCACCATATGACACAGCAATTCCACTCGTAGGATATGCAAAAATGATTTGAAAGCAGAAGCTCAAACAGATACTTGCACAAAAATGTTCACTCAACACTATTCACAATAGCCAAAACGAAATGTGGAAATGGCCTAAACGTCCATCAACAGATAAATGAAGAAACAAAGTGCGGTACATACTCACAATGAAATACTACTCAGCCAATAAGAGAAATTAAGTCTTAATATTTGCTACAATATGGATGGAGCTTGAAGATATTATGCCAAGTTAAATAAGTCACTAACAAAAGGTCAAATATTGTATGACCTCAGTTACAGAAAAAGACAAGAATAGACAAATATATAGAAACCAAAGTTTAATAGTAGTTACCAAGAGTGAGAGGGAGGGGAATTATTGCTTATGGGGTACTGCATTTTGATTTACACTGATGAAAAAATCACATTGATTAAGGGTAGGGTTGCACAGCTGATGATTGTAATTGCTGTCAATATGTTGTATACCTGTAAAAAGTTGAACTGGCAAATTGACCTAATAATGTGTTTAGTGTTTCTGTTCCACCTCCCAGTTTGTTGCACAGTGCCTGTAGTCTTAAAATCTTGCAAGCAAGGAGATCCAGGATAGAATGGGAGAACAATGTGGAACAAAACTCAAAATCAATAAACAACAACAAAAAAAAGGACCAAGTTTGCTGGTGTGATAGACCCTGGTAAAACCACTGAGACTATGGCCCCTAGTTGCCCTTCAGGTCTGGAACTGAACCCACACCTGTGGCTTCCAGCCAAACAAAAGACAGGCATATGAGTTGAACATGTACCTGAGGTAGATACATCCCTTGGAGAGAACAATCATGGGAGAAAGAAGGGCTGTTTATGCACAGTGAGACACTTCAGGGGGCAGGAATACATGGAGGGCTGGACACAGGGAAGAGGTAACTATCGAGAGGAAGTGGGAGGGGAGGGGTTGCATTGGGGTAACCTGTCAATATTATCAGACAAAGTGTATGTGAACTGCTGTATGGAAAGTGAATTTGCTCTGTGAACTTTCACCCAAATAACAATAAGAATTTTTAAAAAAAAAAAAAAAAAAGCTTGCAAGCAGCCATCCAACGCATAGCAATTGGTTTCTGTTCACCTGGAACAACAGAGAAAGCAGGAAAGTCAGGAATTAGAGGAAGAATTGGAATGAATGCTGCCTCTTTTGCCAT